TTTAAGAAGAGGCTTGATGACTACCTGGCTGGACTCATTTGAGTACAGTCTTTTCTCCCGCCCAGGCGGGGGGTCGGACCTGAAGATCTACAAGGTCCCTTCCGACCCTACTTCTATGATTCTATGAACCTGTATCTGTAGCCTATCTTCAAGCATGACCGTGCTTCCCCACAACTTGGTATTGTTTGCAAACTTGGCCAGTGAGCTTTTCGCCCCCATGTCCAAATCGTTACTAAAGATGTTGAAAAGTATTAGACTGAGCACCGACCCGTCCGACACCACTGTCCACTTGCCAGGATGACATAGATCTGTTAACTATAACTCTCTGGGTCCTATCCTACAGCCAGTCTCTCACCCATCTGTCTTGGAGTTAAGCCCACAATCCTCCACTTTTGTTGCGAGGACATTGTGCCATACTAGATCAAAGGCCTTTTGGAAGTCAAGGTATACAATGTCAACCTGCTCTCTCATGTCCAGGTGGTGTTACCTAGTCATAGAAGATGTCCACAATAAGATGTGAAAATGTATTCTTAAAGTGTGCAGCTTGATCTTGATCTGGTTAGCAGTTTGGTCTAAATTGGACTTTGCCTGCATCCCCAGTTCAGACGCAGCCTTAGGATGCAAGGTATTGAGGCAGCTACCTACCATGGAATCAATGGAGTTAGGCACATAGGTCCTATTTAGGCCTCTGAATACCTTCAAGGATTTGTCCCTAAAGCCTTAGTGTATGTTGGTGTGGGTCTGGATTGATTTAACAAACTTACTGATATAAGATATTCCATGATGGTGGGGATGGAGTGGGGGGATAAGGTGAGCAGTGACTTGCCGTCCCCACCCCCTGGAAGTGAAAGAGTGCTGCTATGATTTAGGGAATGCAGCGGGGGGCTGGCCTTGTCCCCCTGCTCCGTCTCCACCATTGTGGCAGCGCTCTGCCACCTCCGAGGACCATAGCTGGGGAAGCAAGGACAGCAGCGCTAAAGGTGACGGTGGTGCAGGGTTCTGGCAGAGGAGGGTGGAGAGGACAGTGAGGTAATCTTTCTCCCCCTTCCTTCCCCCCCACCCCTTTCCCGTGGAGGCGGTGGCAGCATGGGGTGGTAGGTGGCTGTGCTCCATCCCTGCCTGTCTCCCCGCCCCCCCCCATCATTCTTGATGAGCAGTTCACTAGTATGTGTTATATCTGCACATTCCTGTATCAGGATAATGAAACAGACTTAAAGTGACAGTGGATTAGCCCTATTTATACTGTCATCAGTCGAGAGATGTAAGTTGCATCCTAACAATTTGCACATATTCCTAAGTAGCACATCCCCTTCCCCCTTTAAAGAAGTTTAATAGAGTAAATTTATATGCAACCTAATTTGTTGTGCCCCATGTTTCACTACCTTTATGACTGTTCAGATGAGATGTCCTTTTAGGATCAAGTAGTAAGTCCTATTTTCTCCAGGATTCTCAGGCATATGTATCTCCATCACCAGGAAAGCTTCCTTATTGCTACAGATGTCATCTATTTTAACTGGCCTCTTCTTGATGACTGGGCTTCGGGCTCTTCTTTGCTTTCTGCACCTGTTCTGCTCCCTCTCTTCCACATTTCTACCACCATTGCCCTATCAGTCCTGCTGTGTGGCTGGCTTGTTCTCCTGTTAGATTGTTCTGTGTCTGGGACTTAGATATCTTAGTGTAGGTGCCTTCAGGATTAGGTAGGTAGGTGGTGTAGGTCCTTGCAGGCGTCTACAGAGCACAGACATAGTGTAAACCAGCTTGGCACAGTTGCAGCAAAACAAAACTTGCAGTGGTGAATTTCAGATACTTTGTGAATGGCTGGACTGCAGTGCAGCTGGGGGGAGAACAGAGATACTGGGCAAAACACCAAGATTGTACATAGCCATTAATTATGTCACACCTGTTGCCAAACTCTTGAACCTGCTGTTGCACTTAAAGCTGACTCATCTTAAGGATGCTGATCCCATTGTTTTTTAACATTCTCAAATAAATGACAGTAGCCTGCGTACTTATTTCTTTATA